ACTCTAGTCGTTGGGTTTGTTTTCACACTACAGTGTCTGATTTACTGTTTGTAGAGACATTTTTGAAGAGAAGTCTCTCACTTTCAGTGCTTCACCTACTGTAATTTTCCCTCGCTGGCTATTCAATTGGTACCTATTGCTTCTTATTGAATGCCCTACCTCGCATCGGCTCCATAGAGAAGCTCACCAGCGGCTCGGACGCGTTCGCGTGTTGGTAACATTACTTTGACCTTAAAGCGGCGGCAAGGCAATGAGAATGGGCCAGCGTTGCCACCAGTACTTTAATGTGTTATGCAGTGCTAAGTTTTATCGTACCGTACTCTAAATTCAGGGTGAAACAATGTGTAAATAGGAGTCGATCAAAGGACGGAATCAATAATCAAGTTCAGGTGAATTTAGCACCCTTACCAGGAAAGGCATTCAACTTCCCATGGAACTTTGAATTGAGACCCAGATATATCGATAGAGCTTCAAACGCTGATTACAAATATGGAAACTAAAACTGCAAAATGAACCTGCCAAGGAAGTTGTGAGCAGTCAAAGTTGGCTGGAAGTAAAGCGTCCGTAACCGTGCTAGCATCCAGGTCTGATTCCCAACTAGAAGTTCCATAGGAAGTTAAATGCCTTTCCTGGTCGGAGGTTACATATGAAGGCACTGACGGCGCTCATGTAATGGGTAGGGGGGGGGGCGGAGTCACAACAGAGCCGATGTTAGGTGAGACCAAGACCAAGCTCAGAAAAGGGGAGAAACGCCAGGGAGACAAATATTGCCCACATTGTCGCTCGGCATTCCTTCCCCTTAAGGCTTTCTTTGTCCCAAGCTTAGTAATTGGCCCACTAACTTGAATGTCCCCCCACCCAAATACATGAGCATTGACTTCATTCACTGGATTACTAATCATGTGTTACAACTGGAACAATATACACAAAATTGCTATCCTCCATCACGAGTATGACATCTATACGTAATACGTATTTTACCCCCCCCCCCCAGCCCTATTAATTGCATAGCTTGGCAAAGGGTCGGGAGTCAACATGCTGTCGAATTGTTAGCAGTGTTGGCTCTTGCCGCAGCTTCGACGTCGACAGCACGCGCTCGCGTCGCGCCACTGGTGAGTCTTTCTTTCATCCCCCTCGCTTCTGCTTGGGCATAATATGCCCTTAACCACTACTTTGTCATTTGAAATACCAAGCTCAATAAACCATGGGACAAGACCTATATGTAATTGAAAAGTAATTAGAAAAGCTCCATGATTAGTAAAACGGGCGCAAATAGTAAAACGTAAAAAAAATCTAAAAAGTAAAAAAAAGGTGGTAAAACGGGAGTAGGACTAGGAAGGGCTGAGCAGGTTCATGTGCTCTAACTACTACAGACTTGAGAGCGCATTAAAAGGCGAAAAAGAAAGTGAAAAGCAAAGACAACTAGTGTTGAATCTAGCGAAGCGCCATCTGACGAAGGCAAGCCACATGGTAGCAAAAATCATATAGGTGAGGAACGCAGTCATTGAATATCATAAAAACTCACCAAATCCAATTTTGCGTGACTCAACCATTAGCCACATGTATTCGTTAGTGTCCATGCCTTCCTCAGCTATCGAAACCAAAAGATTACGTCGAGCCTCTACCGACTCCAAGCAGACGACGGTTACTTAAAGAGCCTTCTGTGACAAGCCGGGGAAAAACCTAGTGACACGCTTTGAAATTTTTAAGGGTAAGTAAACTGAGTTTTCAGAGAAATCCCCAAATTTCTTTTCATCAGAGCAACTCATTTGCGCCACGCACACCTCGATCGGTTAGGTGATAACATTATTCCGTCAGGAGGATAGGGCAAGCTACAAAGACAGATACCCTTCCGGCTTGGAAGTGCACGAAGGGCGATGAGCTCCACTCACTTCAGCTGCTTTGACCCCTTCAGTTCCTCTCGATGCAACAGTCCACGTAATGGGTGTATATTCTCGCTTGACTGCTTTTTCTGACTGCTTTTTCTTTAGCCGGCGGAAGTGGTGTAGTGGCAAGTGGCACGCTTACCACGCGAGCGGTCCGGGGATCAAATCCTGGGTCGTGAGTCGCCCGGGCCAACCAAGCCTTCCATCCCTCCGGGGTCGGTTAATTAGGATAAAAACACTGACTTGTACATCGGCTGGCCCCCGCAAGTCATTGTATAGGCCACATCGCATTCAAACGCCACTACGAATGTACAAATGGAAGTAGAATGCGTGCCGCATCAAAAAAAAACCGCTGCATGGTGTTTGTCCAAGTATCTCTCTTTGCCTCCTTCACAGACTCATCTACCAAAGAAAAGAAGCCCCTTGTTTGCGTCGTTTTCGGCGATTTCATTACTTCCTTGACGGCCATTCCATTTGTAATCCAGCCAGCAGTTAACTACTATTATACTGAAACACAGCGAGCTAGAAATCAGCGTAAAGAAGTTTCGTGATGCAGGGCTAAAGGAATTACCGAGAAAAGTTGCTCAGAACCCGAGGAAACGGACCACCTTTCCTGCTCGCTGACTACAGGTCTTGAATCGAGTCTTATTGGGGCCGACGTCATTGAAGTCAACGCTTTGCTCCGCGTCTCTGTTGAACGGCTAGTTCCCTCGGCTAAAGTCCTACACTGGAGGGGTGCTCATTCGGAAGGCTGCAGCGCCGCGAGCGTCGCCAGTTGGGCCGTGCTAGGGTAGTAGGTTGTCTTCTGCAAAACGCAAAAACGCAAAAAAGTCACAAATAGTTGTCAAGGAATGTGCCTTCGAGAGGATCAAGTTGTCATTTGGGTAAAAGCTACCTGAGCCAGATGAAAGAACTTTTTTAAAGAGAGCAAAACTGTTCCTTTCAGAATTGCTTTAGTAGAACCTACCTCGTGACACTTCTTTTATCGCTCGCAGCACATTTTTGAATGTGGCATTAGTGAAGTTGGAGACCTGTCGACGATACGTCATAGTCATGTTTGGATTGTCATTCATAAGAATCTAAAGCAAAATGTTATTAAACTCCATTGAGCACTCTGCGATAACATCAGATCTCTTAGGTTGTCCCGTAAGTGGTGTCGCTTTTTTTATAGAAATTTTTCCTCAAGTCCTTCCTACGCCATGTCATAATCACTTGAAAGAGAACTTGTCTGCTCTACAAGATATCTTGTTTTTCTTCCATTCACGCAGGTTTTCAAATTTTAGGCCTGCGAAATGGGAGGTCCAGCCGACGAAAAATTGCCAAACCGACAACTAGCCCTAACTCTATGTTCCCTAGGAGAATCAGTCAATGATTGACCATCAGCTTAGTCACAACCTCCTCTTAACATTCCGCTATTAGGCTTGCCAACAAGTCGCGTTGCTCCTTTTCCAGACTTGGTTTTTCAACCAGAACTCGACGGTCAAGCACCATTTCTTGAAATCTAGCTCAATTTTTTACAGCCGAGACATTGAAAAACTAGTGGAATTTAAGAACAAGTCATGACTAAGTTAGGAATGTACGCCTGGTTGATTTTCTCATCCTCTCAGGTAAAGCTTTTTTTTCAAAATAATGTGGTCACTTTCGTGGACAAACACCTTATCACCTTATCACGTGGGTCTAAAATTCAACTTTATATTAAACCAGATTAGTCCCCCGTCAACCGCCGGGACCTTCCTTTCCTGCGCAAGCTTTCTATCCTCCGCTATGGTCCCTTCCTCCTGTGACACCAACACCTCCTGGAAGTGACGCGTATGCAACACAATGGTGTTTCATACAGTAGAAGGGACACAATCATGATATGACGGTAGATTTTTCGCTTCCCTTCCTCATCCTCCCTTCCTCTCTCCACTGCCCTCCAGCTGCCACTGCAGCACCATGTGGAATGAACGGAAGTGTGCTAAGCAGGTGTTTATATAGCCCTAAGAGTGTTATCACAACTATCCTGCTACAAAACATTGATATCTCAAATCCTGTAAGCTACCCGATTTGTTAGCGGTTTGTTTATCCCATGAGCTTCCTTCTCACTCACTTCATTTTGCGGACGGACACACATACACATACACACACACACACATACAGATACACAAACCGACACACAAAGTTAGCGCTTTATAAAATAGAAGGATAAAAAACAAAGCAAGTAGTCGAATAGAGCAGAAGAAGTGCTCACAAAAGATACACCAGTTGATATAAAACAATAGCGTTTCAGAGGAAGAATTTCAATTTGAAAATTGCCATGGCTTATCGGTCAGCCAATTCGAAAAGAAACACGGCAAAGCTTTTTCGGCAACCTAAGAGTGGAATGTTCAGAAGAGGTCATGGGTAAGTAGGTACATCATTGATTGATTTCTTTTTCAAGATAAAAAAAGAGATGGTTGTCGGTTTGGCTAATTTTCGTCGGTTGAACCTCCCATTGAAGCGACACTACATATTTATGAGGCAACCTGATAGCAGCAATGTTTTCCAGTCTCGCTGACTGGGTAGCACTTAAAAGAGTATTGCTTTATTCCTTGACAAGAAAGGCAAATTTTGTAACCAAAGCCGGCTTTTCTATAGCAACTACAGGGCGCGCCAAAATTACTTGCTCAAATTTCCGCCCTTGTAAAAATAGTGAAACAGAGAATCGAGGGCTCGTTTTCAGTAGTTTACGAATGAAATGCCATTACGAAACCGCCTTCACATCTCGAAGTGCCTCTTTCGGACCGAGCACTAGCCTTTAGTTGTGAGGAGAGGTCGTCCACTGTGGCGCGTAGGTGCTCCAAACAAATTCTTCCTAAACGTAGAGCAGGTTCGTCCTTATCTGGGCTGCGGCTGGGTGGTGTTGTTACGAGCAGGCCTTGCTCTCTAGAAAGCTCAACACGAAATATTCCACTCTGTTGAAGTAAGTACTTTTGATTGACCGTAATTGAGCGCTGGTGAGACCAGGGCTGGTGTTCTCGCGTGCTGCGATGTCACCTTCGATCTACCAACTAGTGCTGCACCCTGCTGAAACACGAGCGGTCCGGATCCATTGTGGGATTCTGTCCAGGAAAGCGAAATGTTAGTCGGCACACCTTCCTTCCAGATTACCCTCTACTTCACTTGGAGTATCCTCTTTGACAAAAACAAATGAGGACACGACTTCATGGCTAATCGCAAACCAAACCATGATTTTGTTGCCTTTCCGTAACATTCACGAATTCTCCATCTATCGTCAGCTTCCACCGTCCCTAGGCAAAGTCCTCCATCATTTTGACGATCGGAAGTTGAGTTCACAGCGAACGGCATTTCACCGAAAAGACCATCTCTCGGTAGCGCGTCGACGTAATCATTCGGAAACATCTTGAAGTTTCTCGCACCTGATTATCTTTGTGGGGAGCATGGAGTGCGGCATTTTGGCAGCTCTTAGTACAAAGTGTTATCTTTCTTCTCAGCAATATGACAGCCTTGGGGATAGCTTTTTTCTAGCTTTTTAACTATAATTGTTAGCGACCTCATCCCCGGGCCGCACCGTATCTCGTACCACTTTAACATTTTTCGTGGATGTTGCAGCTGATGGATCCTGCCATTCTCAGCAGCATTTCATAGCTCCTGAGCAGGGTCAACCCTATCGTTGTTACTCTTTGGAAATTTTTTACGACCCCCCCCCCTTCATGGGTGATTTGATACGACCCCCCTTGTATGTGACACTTGTGTAGAGACAGTGTTTACCATCAATATTTATTTCTACGTAAGTCATCAAAGATGAAACTTTAGCAAAATCCACGACAGATATTCATCGCTGCTTCCAAACACGAAAAAATGAGATGCATTCAAAGATATCCGTGTACTCCAAAGGGTTACCAAACTAGGAGATGAAATAAACTGAACCAGTGACCGGAATATTGACAATATTACCTGATAAAAACTTATGAGAAGTCAGAAAAAATTATCGCTCCAATTGAAATACTGAAATCCTTCACGTTCTTCAATTGCAACACAATTTTTACACCCCTCTTTCTAAGGCTATAACTTCCTTCATATTCGAGCTTCTGCGCCGAAGTGATTTGATTTGGAAAATTCAAATTATTCTCTCTCCAACCATGGGTAAAAATTCTTCGAAAGTTAATTTAATAAAAATTTAGTACGTTGTTACTTTTTTCTGTGCAAAAGTAACTTTTAACTTTAAAATATATTTTGACTTGTTTTGTTTGTTAACTGCTGTTTTTGCCGCAGTTCGCCTTGCGAATGTTTCACAAGAATGCTGGGTTGTGAACAAAACTTTCGCCCCAGGCGGGACTAGAACCCGCACCTCTCGCTTTCCGGGCAAGTGCGCTACCAGTTACGCGTAACTGGTAGCGCACTGATGCTGAGATTTGAAGCACTGATAGAGGACGTGGTAAGCAAAAGGCTGCTCACCAATTGCTCGTTTGTCGCTTACAAGTGCTAGCGGAATAACCGCTGTAACTTTGAGTAAGTAATTTTGGCGCACGTTGTATCTAAAGGGAACGTGAAGTCGTTTTGATGTTCTTATTCAGTTCAGGTGATTCTGAATCGAAAGGAAATATTCACATATTGATCCATGGGTGTAAATGATCACAATCGATCGAGGAAAGTTTGCTTGCCTGCTCGCTGTTCGTTTTCATTGACTTATCACACGGTCGTGTCCACACATTACCACAACGAGCACTATCGCAATATGTTACCAGATTAGTCCCCCGTCAACCGCCGGGACCTTCCTTTCCTGCGCAAGCTTTCTATCCTCCGCTATGGTCCCTTCCTCCTGTGACACCAACACCTCCTGGAAGTGACGCGTATGCAACACAATGGTGTTTCAAACAGTAGAAGGGACACAATCATGATATGACGGTAGATTTTTCGCTTCCCTTCCTCATCCTCCCTTCCTCTCTCCACTGCCCTCCAGCTGCCACTGCAGCACCATGTGGAATGAACGGAAGTGTGCTAAGCAGGTGTTTATATAGCCCTAAGAGTGTTATCACAACTATCCTGCTACAAAACATTGATATCTCAAATCCTGTAAGCTACCCGATTTGTTAGCGGTTTGTTTATCCCATGAGCTTCCTTCTCACTCACTTCATTTTGCGGACGGACACACATACATACATACATACACACACACACACACACATACAGATACACAAACCGACACACAAAGTTAGCGCTTTATAAAATAGAAGGATAAATGGTGCAATTTGCTCATACCTCCAGATCGGCTATAATCAAAGAGCAACGCGGGGAGACATCGCTCCTCGCCGCGTAGTAAAGTACAGCCACCTCTCTCCAGTCATACCGCTCGAATAGGCGCGTTAGGGTTCGAGCTTGGCTAAAAATCCAATGATTAATGAGTTTCCCTTTGACCTGAGACTCAAATCGTGACCAAAATTTAGTTGTTTTTTATGCAGCGCACTAGGTGATATTCAATTCAGTTTTTGACGTGACTGACTTCACTGAGCTCCACGTTGGAGCCATCATGGTCGAGTACTCATTGCCGTCCAGTAACTCCGAGGAAAACGTCGGCGCCCACAGAATAATCGGAAAGTCGAAGTACTTCGCAATAGATCCAGCTATTAAGGCAGCTGAAAACAAAATCGTTATACAAGCTCCGTATTCCAGAGAAACCTTCATTCTGAGATCATTAGATCAGACCACGTACAGCTCTATTCTACGCACCCGTGTATCGTTAGGGAAATCAAGTCTAACCCTGAAGCTTGTGGCCACTTCATGATAGTTCGAAGAAGAAAGCGAAAGTAGTGATTGCTTGAGAACAGGTCGGAAAACCCGGAGGGCTGTTACGCGCTTGAAATCACGCCCCGTGCGATCTTTCACAAATGCTGGCGACTGGAACGATCCCTTGTTTCTCGGAGTGCCTTCACTGTGAGTTTTTTGGTCTTCGTCACCTATGGCAATAATATTCCTCTTCTGATACATTTTGTTCCATCGATTGGTTTGTCTTCATTCTTCTAATTCGAACACTTTCATTGAATTTTTTCAACGTAACCAAAGGCAGAGCAGTACCCATAACGAACTCTTCCCATTCGCCGCTTCGACCGTGCCCAACCATCCGAACTAGTCACACCTCAAAAAGTTGTTCCCTTTTGAAGTCTTAGTTTTCATGTGCGAAACTTAGGGAATCCCTAGTGGTCCCAAATTGCACCTTTATGTCGGGAATGAAAAAGAGCAACTTTCCGTGCACCCTTCCTTTACTTTGTAGGAATACATGGGTATAGAGCGTTAACATGTTATATGTTATAGAGTTAGGAGTTCCTAGGTGTTTACTTTCGGCGTAATATGACACGCGATACCGAGGGAAGAAACCTCAGTAAATCCTTCGCCCACAATCGTTGAAAACTGAATCGAGACTTAAATTAATCCAAAACAATGTTCCACCTGAGCAATGACCAAACAGATTTGGATATTACAGTATATTTATACTGTATAATTTGACCTGCAAAGAGCTGCTAGTGAAGTCAACCAAGGTCGGATTTATTGCTCTAGGTATGTATACTCCACATACAGGGGGGTCAATAAAAAAAGACATTTTGCCTCCACACTCAGATAGATTTGATCACACTTTGCTCAATTAAAACCCAATGGTCCCAACTTAGTACTGAAGAGCACATTTCGTTTCATAAGAAAGTCTTCATAGTGATAGGAACATTTAGGAAATATTTTGCTTGAGAACGTTCGTCAAGGACGGCAAGAAAAAAGGGCAGAGGGGCGACATGGGCAAAATGTCTTTATATCAAGCTTACTGATAATTTGTTGGCTACCGTTCAATGGAGGACTAGGGGTGCTCAGACGTGGCTCCCCACCTGTATAAGCTGTCGCCTGTACTCACCGTTGATCATCGAATTGCTCGAGCGGGCGCCAGCAACGTCTCCATTCGTCCCTGTCGCGTGCAAGAGTTGTCCAGTGGACCCTCCTCGCTCGAGGGACACGAGTTCATTCCTTTCGTTCAGAGCTTTCGTGAAGAAGTCTGACCATCGGGCCGGCGGTCGTCCAGGTGTTCGTTTGACGTCCCGAGGGATCCAGTCGGTAACCGCTCTGGTCCAACGGTCATCGCAAAATCGCATGACGTGTCCGGCCCACCTTATCTTCGATTCCTTGGCGAAAACGGCAGCGTTCCTGATCTCAAGCCAGTTTCCTAGTTCGGATCTCCTTTGCACATGCATGCATAGAGTAACTCCGAGTAACGTTCTTTTGGCAGCTCGTTCGAATACGCTGACCGCGTGCTAGTGCAGCATGGGCAGAGTTCAAGCCCAAAAAGCTCAGGTTTTGAGGCAGGAAGGACTGCAGATTCAAAGAGCTGGGCATGGAGCCGGATGTTCTTCTTCGTCTTCCCGCAGGCTGTATAAATCCTTCTGCCCACGTACCACCTTGTTATCCTCAATCATTACGGTAACATGAGAATGTTAAAGTTCCAGATTTCTTGTTGTTTCTTTCACTCTCATTGTTCGCGGTAGTTCTATTCATTTGAAAACCTTTGCTTTCATTAGAAGAACATTCTGTCTCGAATTGCGTGCCATCCCAGTTGTTTTCATATGTGCACTTCAAGGTGAGCACAGAGTGCGTGCATCACCATCTCTACGTATGTACTCCACCAAAATGCGATAATGGTCTTCTCCTGGCCAGTTCTAGCCAACCTAGGTTTTGAGGGACGTCTGAATCGGGTCACCCACCCAATATTTATATGCGCGATCAGAGAGTCTCAAGCTTTTTATGTGGATAGTGATAGAATATCGTGCTTTTGCCTTTCTACGTCCGCGCTAATACGTGCTCGGGGTGGCATGAGGAACTCTCTGCGCATCTCTGAAGATTAGTTGTCATCATCTTCTATGACTTCTCCAGCAGATTACACCCTGTTGAATAAGTTTTGCAGATTTAGGTTTCCTGACTGGCTTTCGTCTTTTCCAAGCGCAGAAGAAGGTGAAAGCACCAAAACGTCGGCCCAATAAGGTTACTTTCGGTGGAAATCCTAATAACTACTTTATGAGTCTAGCTCACTGCAACATCTGGAACAGTTCGGCTGAATTGCAATGTAGTACTAGAGCAAGTGCCATTTCTTTCTATGAAGGCATTCAAATAAAGAGAGGACTTACAACCGGAACACGGTGGTCCGAGCACGACGTCGGCGCCGCTCTCCACCCAGTTGATCAGCGCTCCGGCATCGACCGATTCCACACAGTCGCCCATCACCCAGGTTAGACTGAATTTATTTTTATCGACCCATAACCGAACAAGGACAAAATTTCATTCTCTGTTCTCTCTATTTCTCTTTCTAGCAGCAGTTTACACCAATTTACTGTGGAGAGCTATCTGAGGCCATCTGTGCAGGAGGAAAAAGGGACTAAAATATAATATTGCCTTCAAGGGCGGAAGTGGTGTAGTGGCAAGTGGCACGCTTACCACGCGAGCGGTCCGGGGATCAAATCCTGGGTCGTGAGTCGCCCGGGCCAACCAAGCCTTCCATCCCTCCGGGGTCGGTTAATTGGTACCAGACTTGTCTGGGAGGATAAAAACACTGACTTGTACATCGGCTGGCCCCGCAAGTCATTGTATAGGCCACATCGCATTCAAACGCCACTACGAATGTACAAATGGAAGTAGAATGCGTGCCGCATCCCAAAAAGGGATTGATCAACGGCAAATGCTTTATCCTTTTTTATCCTTTACATGAAGTGAGGTAGTGAGCGGAGCCTGAAAATCAGATACCGTATGGACGGAGCTGACTGAATATGTACTATGGAAGGGTTCAGTCAGGCGAACAGGGGCGCTAGTATTCCATAGAGAGGACGTCTCGCAGGAGGTTGCTTTTCATGTGGAGGGCTCGGAACAGCTAGCGAATCAAAGTTCCTATCCAGCAACATCGTAAAATTTGAATCCTATCAGGGTCAAAATCAATCAAAATTATCGGTTCTTGTGCACAACGAAACGGGTAATGATCTACGCTTGAGTGGGTACATTTGTGGGAGGTGCAATTTAACTTTCATGCGTTGCTGATCAAAGTTAGTTCGAGAGAAAGCCAAAAAGGAGAACTGGGTACTTACGCAGTTGAGGGGCCACGTGGCGGCGCGACGTCAGTTCCCTGCGTTCACCGTGGTTTCTCAACGAGTGGGTC